GCTGCCGCGTTGGCTCTCACTCGCGCGACCGCTCTCCTGCAGGGCCCGGCCCGACCTCGGCGCAATGGGTCATCGGGCAACGGGCGCCAGGTTGCGCGTCGCGGCCATGATGGGACCGCGCCTCCGCCCGCGAGCAGTGACAACATCTTCGATCCGAGTCGCAGGGCCATCCACGACGTCACCGCGCCCTTCGTTCCACGGTGTAGCACCCCGTGCAAATGTTGTTGAATCGGCGTCCAAAGGACAGCCTGGCCTGTGACTCGCGTGGGGCTTGCGCAACAGATGCGATGCGCATCGCGATCATCGGCAGCCGCCCCTCCGCCGCGATGCCCCCGGTCTGCCTCCGACGCGCGGTCGAGCGAGGCGCGGATGATCCGGCCGTCTGCGCGGACGCAAGGCGATCCCAAAACCAGCCGCCGTCGCGACGCCGTGGGCCCGCGCTGCCGCGCGCTCGACCCAGGCCCCCCCGCCCCGCGAAGCACTCCGCGACGTCCTCGCCCAAGCAGTCCGCCGCGAGGCTGCGTCGGGGCAGCCCTCGGGCCGCGCGCGGCGAGCTGGGGGGGGGAGGGGGGCGCGAGAGCGACCCGCAATAACCGGGTAAACGTCGGGGTCGCTGATGTCGCTGGATGGCGCGCCAATGACCTACGGTGCCAGCCCGCTGCCGAGAATTATAGCACTGCCCTCCTGAGTGGCCTTTAAAGTTGGCGCTTGGGACGACGGGGGGGGCCCAGGGCGAACGCGCGTCACTCCCCGCGCGGCGCTCGCCATCCGCGCTCCGACTCGGCGCCGAGCACGCGGGGCGCGCTGCCAATCCCGCCCGCTGCCCGAACGTAGTGGGCCCTGGAAACTACGGCACGCATGCGTCGTATATACTCCAGATGTTGCCCTCGATTTCATCGAATGCACCCATGCAAAAGGAGAGCACAGCGAGGTGCGCCAGCTCGCCTTCTAGAACATGTTGGCTGTGGCCGACGCACTACAGACATCGGAAACCGAATGAGCGGCGGCGCCCCCCCCCCCCCCCCCCCATCACTGCGCTGCGATGCGTTATGCTTAGGGGGGCCCGCGTGTACTACGCAGCTTGCGACGGCCGTCCTCGCAGACGGGGTTGAACTTCCTACCGTTGCCGGCGGTTAGGTGACCGCGCCTCTTCCCCTTGCCTCCATGGAAACAAATCGTCATGCTGATCAGTGGCAAGCGAAACAATTAACGAAGCAATGCCCTTGCCGTGCAACCTGATCCCCCCACCTTCGCCCTTGCTGCGTCCTTTTGAGTGCAACGTATTCCCTATAGATATAAGTGCTCGTCGTGCGGATTTCTCCATGCTACTACTCCACCTGCTCTTTGCATGACGCGTCGTAGAATTCAGAAACTCAGCCTTCTGGTCGTCAGTAAGATGCGCTGGTCTGTCTGATGGATTCACTCCTCCAGCTCTTCCTGGCGATTTTGCAATAGTATCTGCGCCAGAGCTGAAGGGCGAGGACAGCTCAGCTGGGCTTTTTTGGCCCCCCGAAACCGTGGTAGATAGCGCGTTATTCGTAGGCGGAGTTCGGGGCCAGTCATTGCCGCTATCTGCCTGGCTGCCAATCGCCTGGCCTGCGAAAAAAGGACGCGCCTTCAGTGGGATTGGCCTGCCATCTGTTGCGGCCAGTGGCCGCTTTCTCCCCGCCGCTGCAGCAAAAGAAAGCGTAGTCTGATTGGAAGTTGGCGCAGCGTGACGCGTCGCCGCGTCCCAGTCCAAACGCCTCTCGTGGCAAGGAGGCTGAACGATCGCATTCGTTCAAAAAGTGAGTCGCATTTTACCTGGGCATTTAGTGGATCAATGGATGCAACATCTGCGATGCTCGTACTGGCCGTTTTTTTATCTTTCTGAAGTTGGGGATGTCAAATCCAACTGAGTGTGCCTCAAGCTTGGCCATTGCAGACCTACCTGGTGTCGAACAGATCTTTTTGCACCTGCACGTGCACGTTCACCGCCGAGTACCCAAGTCACGCTGCTGCTCGCCTGCTAGATGCCCGAATATGTCGAATAATACGTACATCATTTATGTCACAAGATCGGTTCTCACACTATTGATATCTACGCCGGGGCCGACGATGTGCGAGGGAAAACACACCGCTACGAGTCGTGCCGGGCTCGACTGGACTCGTTGGAGGGCGGCCGCCTGATGTTGTGGTGTGGAGCGGCCACTTGTTACGTTAAGCTACACGCGGACCTCTTGTACATAGCTCCTAGGGGTGCGTTGCCCGCAGGGATCCACTGAGGTCCCCTCGTGAATGTGGCGTCGCCTGCACCACGCTGCGTGTAGCCTACAACAAGCCCCTAGAGAACCCATATGGTGCCGAACAAGGTGGACTTAGGATAGTGGTAAAAAGTCGATCGTTTTGTGGTTGGTCCACTCTCTGAAGGTGGTGGTCTGCTGCCAAGCGACGTGGGGGTCTTGGCTGCATGTTGTTATTGTTTGTGTACTGGCCCAATGGTAAGCCAGCGTAGCGAAGCCTGTTGCCAGATTGATTGCACACGTTGTGCGGCACGTGGTGGCGTAGAGCTGTTGTGTATATATACACATATATATGTATATACACAAACTCGAGGTGTACTGGGGATTTGGCTGGTGGTGGAAGTGGGCGTGGTATGGTCGTAATCGACGTGTTGCCAAATTCTAGCTCACTGATGACCACCAGCCCGCTGCCAAGCTGCCCACTCCAGCTTCCTGGCTCTGTTCCCCGAAGGGATGTCGGCGCGTGGTAGTCCAAATTGGTCATCCATACAATATCGTGGAGCATTGTAAACAACATAACCAGCTGCACAAATGTCCAGCCAGCTCCGCCATCAAGAACAATTGAAGCCAAAAGAAGCGATGTACATTTTAGACGAGATCTTTTCCGCTACGCGAGAGAAGTCCGTAACAACATATGCCTGGTGTCGACCTCATTGAACTCAAAGGGGTTGCGGGCGCTCTCGCTCCCAGCTCGCTCTAACAACTAGGTCGCCCCCTTTAACGTACAACGGTCCAAGAGGCTTCCATGACGCCTAAAGAGGCCTCCCAAGAAGGCCCCACGAGGTCTGAATACACACTGATGTCCCTCAGGTGTTTGAAGGATGTTGGGGTTCTCGCCAATTCGGCCTTCTGACGCTCCAAGACGGCACGAACAGGCACCCAAGACCACCCCAAAACACCCAAAGAGGCCTCAAGGAGGGCCCAAAGACGGCCTAAGAGGCGCCCATGTCCTGCGAGGGCCCCAAGACGGCCCCAAAAGATGCCCAAGAGAGGGAACACGAACCGAACATCTGAGCCTTCCGCCCCAAGAAGCACCCAAGAAGCCCCAAGAGGCGCCCAAGCGGCCCCAAGAGGCCTCCAAGAGGCCCCCAAGAGGCCCTAAGAGGACCCAAGGAGGCGCAGCTCCGGGAAGTACCAAAACGGCCCCGAAGAGGCCTCCAACGTGCCTCCAGGAGGCAAGAGGCCGCCCGCGAGAACCCAACGAACATCCAATAGGCTTCAGACCCACAAACCAGGCACGGTGGCGGGATGGGCCGAAGGCCATTCGATCCGCCGCCCCCTGTCGATTCATCGCAGGGGTGCCTGGCGTGCTAAACCTCTCGGTTTTGGTTTTGGTTTTTTTCCAAAGAACTCTCCAAATGGGTTTCGGCCCGTCCCGCCGGGTCCCGGGAGGACCATCCAGGAGCGCAAAGTCCAGAAAAAATCATCCAAGATGGCTCAAGATGGCGTCCAAGATGGCCTCTAAGATGGCCATGTTGGCCCAAGATGGCCTCCAAGATGGTCCAAGATGGCCTCCAACTCCGCCCAAGATGGTCCGAGACGGCCTCCAACTCCGCCCAAGATGGTCCGAGACGGCCTCCAAAACGGCCCAAGAGAGTCCAAGACGGCCCAAGAGGCCCCCCAGAGGCCTTCACGACAACCCAAGAGGCCTCCAAGAGGTCCTCCAGGAGGGCCCGAAGAGGCCAAAATCGTTGATGTTCCCAAGATGTTTGAAGGATTTTGGAATTTGCTTCTTCTCGGCATTCCGACGGCTCAAGACGGCCCAAGAGGCCCCCAAGATCGCCCAAGAAGCCCCCAAGAGGGCCCCATGACGGCCCAAGTAGCCTCCAAGACGGCCCCAAGAGGGCCCCAAGACTGCCCAAGAGATTTCCAACGCGCCCAAGATGGCCTCCAAGACGCCCAAGATGACCTCACAGACGGCCCCGAAACGCCCCAAGAGGGCCCCAAGTCGGCCCAGAAAGGCCCCCAAGACGGCTCCCGACGGCGTCAGACGTGCCAGGAACCCACCAAGATGGCCGAAGTTGGCTCGAAGCTGGCCCAAGAGGCCTCCAAGAGGGCCTCCAGGAAGGCCCGAAGAGGCCAAAACCATTGTTTTTTTCTCATGGTTTTTTGAAGGATTGTGGCATTTGTTTGTTTTCGGCCTTCTGACGGCCCGAGACGGCCCAAGTGCCCCCAAATATCGCCCAAGAGGCCCAAGACACGGCCCCAAGAGGCCCCCAAGACGACCCAAGAGGTCTCCAAGACGCTCAAGATGGCCTCCAAGACAGCCCAAGAGCCCTCCAAGACGTCCTCCAAGAAGGCCCGAAAGGGTCAAAATGGCCTCCACACGGCCAAGATGACCTTAAAGATGCCCACGTGTTCCCCGAAGGCTTTCCAAACCGATTCGAGGAATACGTGGTCTGATAGCTTGGCAGGTCTGGCCTCAACTTTCGGCCACATAGGCGCTTCCAAAAAGGCAGGGGGCGGCGGTGATTCGCCGTAGGCGTCTTCGATAGTTGCGTTGACTACCTACCAGACCACCCCAGCCCGACCCAAGACAAGAATTTCGGATTAGGGAGGGGGAGCACGGGCTTCATTTGTGGTTACTTTCATTAATGTTCTCCGACCTCCCCACACTGGAAATGGAGGGCAAATCGGGGCCTTCGGGTTGGGATGGGGTGGGTTGGGTACTGGGGTGATGTTTCTTCTTCTTTTTCTTCTTATTATTATTATGCGTGCCTGGTACTTGAACGGCGGCAGCTTCACGGTCAGCGTGACCGGCTTGGTGCCGAGCTCGGGCATCTTGTCGAGCTGGGACGGCGCCATTGGCCGAGATAGCGCGCCGCTCTGCTCGGGAACGGGCCGCCCTCCGCGGCTGCGGGGGGGCGGGCGGGAGGGGGCTGGCCCCCGAGGGGGAGCAGTGACCTGGAATCGGCGGTCCCCGACATAGAGAATCAGAAGAAGGAAAAACGGTACAAACATAAACGTTCGACGGTCTGCGCGGATTTCTTGGATCTGCGCCTGGGCCCCCCTGGCGCGCGGAGCGCGCCACTCCAGCTCCGAAGGGCTATGTTTGTAGCGTTTTTTTTTCTTCTTCGAAGAATGGTGCCCGTGCGCCGCGCGCAGTACAGCCGAGGCGCACGATGAGGATTTGCGGTAGGGGTGCGAGGGCCTTGGGGAAGGACACGTCGGCGCATCCTAACGTGGCTTGCCGGCGAAAGACGCCGAGGGCGGGCCGAAGGGGCAAGGATGGAAAGGGCTGCCCTGGGAAGCTGCTCATCCTTGCTATCCGCCTTGCTCGTGCGAGACCGGCGCCCACGCACCGTTCCCTGTCTGGCTTCCGTTGATGCCCCGCCCCGACGCGGAACGGTGCTCTGCTCTTCGGCTCCGAGGGCCGAACAGCTGTGCACCGCTCCGTCCCTGGTTCGAGCACGGACGACGCCTCGGGAGCTGCTAACGCTGTACGGGGCACACCACAGTGTGCCCGCGGACGACATCCCCGCGTTGTGAAAAACATCGCCGACACTTTGTCGCAAATTTCAGCCCTCAACGGGGGCCTTACCGGGCCCCTGAACTGTCAGAAGAGATATTGGAGGCCTGGTAGTGGCCACCAGCACCAACCCAGGGGGTTGCCTCCACAGGGGGAAGATGATCCTAGATTTCGGTGTTGGTGGTAATATTTCGGCCACCTTGGATGCCAGAAAATGACCACCATAACCGAGATCGGGATCTTCTTCCCTCAGTGGAGGCACACCGCCGAAATTGGTGTTCGTGTCAACCTCTAGGCCTGCGAAGATGGCTCAGGCGAAAAGCTGGTTCCCAGGAAGGGGTCCACACCTCGGATAGAAGATCAGCAAACGACACAAGCAGAAACTTGCGGACCTCCGCGCGGCCCACTCTTGGCGGGGCCTCTGGCGCCGCCCGTGGCGCGCTCCGCGCGCCAGAGAGCGGGGTACAGCACCGATCCAAGAAATTCGTGCGCAGCTCAGAAAGATCAAGTTTAGGCAACTCTTGTTTTCCGAGGGAAAGGTCAGGCGTTGGCAAAACTGGGTTTAGTGGGACCTGGTTTAATGATGTGTACTGGGGGCCGCCCCCCCCCGCTCCGTTCCACTAACCGGAACCGCCGTCACCCCGAAAAAAACTCCAGCTACGCCAGACCTAGTTCAGTCTGGCCAATTTAGGGGCTCCTGGGCCCTACTACTAACCGCGTCCTCTTGCCTGGGGTCCTGGCTGCGCCCGAAAGGGGCCCGAACCCCTAGGGAGCCACGTTGTCGAAAGAGTAGCGGCGCCGGACGTCTGGGACACCCCTCCTCGATGGATCGGGAGACCGCAAGCGGGCCCGGGCAGCCTGGGGCGCCCGGGCCCCCGTGCGGGGAGGAGCGGGCGATTGGGTAAAGGTTTAGGTCGGGCATGTCCTCCTCCAGGCGGATGTTGGAAGAAAAAGGAAGGGGAGGAGAAGGAGGAGGAGGAGGAAGAAGAGGAGGTGGAAGAACAACGGAAGGAGGAGGAGTTACGGAGTTACGGATATTGCGACTGTGTCGGTTATTGAATGGGCTTATTAAATCGAACGGGTGGCTCTCTTGGCCTTCTCAGCTGTGCTGTAAGTTTTAAGTGAAATCCCCCGAACAATATTCTTGAGATTATGTTTACCATTACCTTCGATTCGGAATGGGCATGGTTTTCTAAGCTGTAGCAGCAGTTGCGCTGCAGAGCTACCACATGTCCCACAAAACCAATCCCCAGCCCAGCGTGAAACTTTAAAGAGTGGGTATTATCAGCCCAACCCCCACATATGTGCAGCCTGCTATTGGGGGGTGGCCTGAAAGTGCTGCCATGTGATGTCCTCAGGTCAAAGCACGGGGAATCCAACCAATCAGCTTTACAACCTTTGGTGGTGGTGCTCCTCTTACACCGTGTACACGACAGACCATTTTCAGAGAGTAATTACTAACATGAAACATTTTACATATGAGAAAAGCAAAAACACCACATATGAGAAAAGCAAAAACACCTAAGTCCAGGGTGCCGAACACGATCTCCAGGGGGCCTCCTCGGCAGCAAGACTCTGCTCAGCTTTCAAACCCTCAAGAATACTGAGCAACATACGGAGGCGAACCTGATACGCGTTCTTTTTGTTTTCTGTTCTGTTCTTTTCTTTTTGTATATCAAAAAGCTCGGTCAGAAGCGCGCGCAGACAACACCAACGGCAACCTCAGCGAATTTATCGGGCAGCTGTGTTACGGATGGTTAGACAAAGAGGAGGCCGACCTTGGAGAACGTCACACGCTTCCTGGTGGGAGTGAACGAAGAGCACCGTGCTGTGGAGGGTCGGTCTATTTTTTATAGAAAAAACCCTGTCTGCCACACCTGATCAGCATTCTCTCCCTCTGGGGCAAAAGCTTAACCACAATACCACCCAGAACAGACTCCTGATTGTCCGTGGTGAATACGACGACCCCGTCGGAACCTGTGAGAGCAGTGGGAAAAGCGAGCAAGTCACCTCTGTGGACGCTCTGCTGGGGCCCTGGAAGTCCCCCAAAGACTGAAACTTCTAATTGCATATTGAGCGAGAGCTCAGAATATTTCGCTTCGCCACAGCCTACTCTCCGCAATCTTGGATCACTGCCACCCGCTCCCCCGCCCGCATCCCCGAACAGGAAGACGGGGGCCGCCTCAGAGACCGCCCCGACGCAAATCTCTCCGAACGCTTCTACACCGTGACGCATCCAGTTGGCAACCTGTTGAGGGGGAGGGACGGCCGCCCACGACTGCGGCAGGGGCCCTCGCATCCCAAAGAACCGTTCGACTTCTCTCTGATTAAATGCACTGGACACATACTGACCAGACTGCGCGTATATTTCATGATTCTTGCACTCAGTGCATGCCCATACTCGGCGGAAAGAACTCCATGGATGTTCTCGGTACCCCGCACATAGAACCGACGCGCACTGCCCGGCCTTGGCTGACTGGCGCCCTCGTGGCCAGGCGGCGCCTGCAGCGACTGGGGGGGGAGGCCCGAGAAGCGTTTTCCATCGAGACCTGCTTCTAACTGTCAAGCCCCGCCCTCCAAGACTCCCCCGTCGTAGCCATCAGCTGCCTAGCGCCGCGACCTCTTCACGACGGCGCCCTCGTGCTCGCGCGAGAATGCTGACGGAGTATCCTCTGCCTCAAAATCTGCGAGAGCCTCGGGATTGAACTGCCAGCTGCTGGAGAAACCTGAACCATCGCCTTGCACCCGCCAGTCTGCTGGTCAGTCGGGACTCCATCCTTCTTGCATGGGATGCGATATGGCAGCTGGTTGCGAACCTCAAACATGTGAGCTGCGCTGCTGCGGCGGCGCGCCGCGCAGCTCCTGCGCGATGCCAGCCCACGTTCTGGAGACGCCGCTCCGCACCATCGGCTGCGCCAGCCAAGTGCGGACCCACAAACGCAGGCACCCCTTCGGCAAACGACGCGCTGGACCACGGCCTGGCGTTCTCAAGTCCAGGGGGGATGCGACGCATCGGCCCGTGAGTCTAGGACCGGTGTTGTCACGCAGGGATGCCATCATCTGTCTCGTCCTCTGACCGAAAACTCCGTGGGCATGGTGGGCGTGAGCTCCTGCTGCCGCCGCTCCTTGTTGTTCCAACCTCGCCGTCATGCGACGCCGTCTCGCTGTGCGCGCGTGCCTCAGGATCTCGGCATGCATGCGAAAATGTCTAGCAACTCGATCAGTTCTGGTTTTCCTGGCGAGCCGCTTGCCCCCTCCGAGGTCGACCTCGAGGTTGGGGGCTCGCGCGGCTGCCTCAACCTCATAGCCATGAGCGTCGGGCTTCCTCGCGACCTGCTGGGCGTCGACGACTTTTGCGCATATCACGACGCTCTTCGGGAGATCTCGAGGCCAGCTCGCTCCATCTGTTGGCAGATGTCCAATCGGAAGGCCAACGGCCGCGTCTTGATGGAGCGCCGTGATCCAAAGGCTCGTTGACTCAACTCCTCGATCCATAGCCGATGAGACATACTGACACGTGTCGTCGCAATTATCTGCACGATGTGAAAAGTGATTGCTTATGCGAAGCGCGTGCCTGATCTGATCCCCTGGACCGCCGATCTGGCGGGGCCAAAAAGGGCAGAATAGGCCCCCGACTGGCGGAGGCAGCGCGTCGCCATGCACTGCTGCAGCTCCAAGCCCAGCACCTCCGCTGGGAAGTCGAGCCGCAACGCCGCCGTCGCCAGCTTCAGCCGCCCGATCGCGTCATAGAAGCTGGCGATGTCCAGCAGACCGTGACCGCGGGCCACGCCGAGCCTCGCCGCCATCCCCTCGTCCACGACCCGCGGGAGAGCCTCCCGCAGCGCCGCGCTGCCGCGGGGATTGCTGCGCCCCGGGCGCCTCGCAGTCCTGCGACCGCGCGCGCGCCCAGGGAATCGCGCGCCCGGGGCCGCAGCCTGGCGACGCGGGGCAGGAGCCCGATGACCCTGTCGCCCTTGACCTGCGTGGGCATAAGGGTGCCGATAGTTAGCCTCGGTTGGTGCGACCACGACTGTCACCTCTCCAGAACGCCCATCAGATCCGCCAGCTCCACGAAAGCTGCATCTGGTAGCCGACCTGTGTCGAACGCCGTCAGGCGATCAACTCCCTTGGCAACCGTCTGCTTCATGCACCGACCTGCTGCTCGCAGCTGCTCGCCCGTCAGCGGGGGCAAAATCTCGTCTTGCCCTCGCCGACGTATACCACTGATGATTTCTGACAATTCATCCAGCTCTTGGCCCCCAGGGGCCCGCAACTGGCGAAAACTCTCATGCTTCTTATCCATGATATTACGTGGATGCTGTATCGCCCCGTCGTCGTCGGTAAGATTGGCGGGGACCGGTGGTGGGTCACGACTAGCACAATGAAGAACTGAACAAATATCCTGAAACTCCGTCCACTCTCGGAACTCCGCCATCGATTGATTGACTGCTCGTCGCTGGCTGCGCTGCGAAACTCTCTCACCAAGCTTGCCCGCCTCGTCGAGCTCTCGGCCTCGCAGTTGCCGCGCACCCGCGAGCAGCGCCAGCCGCGCCGCCCACGTGATATTGTCCCGTGGGCGTAGCACCTGATATCCCTGCTTTGGCGCCTCTGCACGTAGACGCTGGCAGGCTGCGGCCAACAACTCCTGCTGCTTGATGCCATTCTGACGGGCGCGATGCTTGGCGTGCGCGTCCACAACTGTGCGCGACCGAGCCCGCCACCCACTGATGCGATCCCTGAGCGGCGAGATGCGGGACGGCGCGGCCTCGAGCACTGTGTCTGCGTGAAAACTGGGGCCCCCTGCGCGAGACTTCCCGGGGAAGACCTGCCCGCGGCGCGTCGCCGCTGCTGATTCAATTGCGCGGATCCACGCACTAAACAAACTGCTGGCGTTATCACAAAAGCCAGAGCCATCTGCGAAGGCCGCGGACGAAGTGGCAGCAGCAGCAGGGGGGTTGCACCCCGATGGCAGGAATTCCACATTGTTCTTCTCCTGGGCCCATGCTTCATGAGGTAAATTAAACGAGACGTTGGATTCTAAAACCCCCGAGGTCGAGGTGGTCCCTCCAGAGCGGAGGCTAATCCAAGGCGGACATTTCGACGTGGAGAGCCGAAGAACGGAGATCTGGCCAACCAACCACCGACGACGACGAAACAGTGGGGCGTGACCGTAACAGAACAGTTCCAGTCCAGAAGCTCTGGCGACAGCGACGGAAGGGCATCGGCGTCCGCTCGGGCACGGCTGTGCGAGGCACGGGCTTCTCCATATCCACACCACCTCTGGAACCGATCTGCCTGGGAAGGGCTCGACGTGTACACCAAGTCCTAGGAGCTCCGTGTCCAGACGCCTCAGCCGCCCAAACTCCGAAACGCTGGAGCGCACGTACACCACAAGTCTTCGCCGAATATTCATTGGCGCAGTGGCCGACAAAGCGACGCAGTGTAGACGTCGAGCTCCTCCGAATGACCCCACATGGACACATCTGGGCTCCAGGGGGCCCGGCCACATACACACGTCCGCTGCCTCCCGAGACCTAGGAAGGTCGGCTTCTAAGTAAGGTTGAGGACATGGACAACTCACGAGCGGCGAACATATCCAAATCCACGCCCTCGTGGTCTGGAAAGTACCGTACAATATGGGCCCGACCACAAAAAAACCTTCCACAAGAACCCAACCCTGAGAACGCTGGACTGTTTTTTGGTGTGGGAACGTCACGCTCTCCACAGCGAAACCATCGAAAATCAAGAAACCCAGGGCACCCTGGAGGCAGGCAGGGTGTTGCTTGGCATGGGTCTACACTGTATCCCGATCCACGCCCTCGTGGTCTGGAATCCAACGCGCGATCGCGGAGGGGCGTCCGCAGGGGGGAACAACAACAAAAACAAAAAACCAAAAAAATGCCCGTAGATCCATGGGGTCGCGGCCCAATGCCTGGCCCGCGAAGGCGTGGGTACGGTGATGCTGTCCGCCCCGGGATCCCTGCCTCGCAGGCTGGCCGGGCGCGCGCGTCGGGCGCGAGCTGGCGGCGCGCACAAGGGGGGTAGTTGGAGAGGGGAGGGGGAAAGGGCTCCTCAGGAGGCTGCCTTCTTAGAAGGCGCCAGCCCTACGCCGACAGGCCAGGCCCGCGCCTTCGAAGGAGCCGGGGGGAACTCTGCAAGGAGCCTTTACGCGCCCCTGTGCCCTGCGTGAGCCCCCCTCGGCGCGCGCCCGACCGAGTCCCAATCAAAGCCGCTGGGGAAGGCAGGCTCGTCCGGGTCGTCGGGGTCCCAGCTGCCCGGCCTGTGCGAGGGATGCTCGCCGCGGCGGGGGGGGCTGGGCGAAGGCGCGCGCGCCTCTCTCGGGGGTGCGCGCCGCGGCGGGGGGGGGCCTCTGCCTCTGGCTCGCTTCAAGTCTCGGCGCGTCCGAGGACGTCCCCGATGGGAATCGCGCGCATACGCACGCAGGTCCTCTGGGCCATGTCCTGTGAGGCTTCGCAGAAACGCCACACGACAACGTGTCATGTTCATTAATGAGCTGGCCTGTTCTATTGGAGACATGTGCTATACATACGAACATATACAAATACATGCATACATGCATGCATGTATACATGCATACATACGTCCATGAATCATACACATGTATACATACATACGTGCATATATGCATGCATGCATACATAAAACATATACAAACACATAATACATACATACATCCATCCGTCCATACGTACATACATGCATGCATACATACATACGTGCAAGCATACATACATGCATACATACATGCACACACATGCATACATACACACATCCATACATACGTACATACCTTCACACACGTATACATACATACACACATGCCTACACGCATACGTACACACATGCGTACATACATACATGTATGCATACATACATACATGCATGCATGCATGCATGCATCCATACATACATACATACATACATGTGTCTGCATACATACATACATACATGCATCCATCCATACATACATACACACATACCTACAAACCCATATGAATATATATATATATACACATACATACATACATACATACATACATACATACATACATACATACATACATATACAAATACAACCATACATACAGTCCGATATACATATCTACATATATGCATGAAGACAACCGTTCATGCATGCATGCATGCATACATACACATATGCATACACACATAAACACATATATATATATATGTGTATATACATACATACATGCGTGCATACATACATCCAAACATACACACATACATGCACGGATGCATACATACACGCATATGTACTGTGAGTTCTCGATGTGTACAATGTGTTTGGGCCGCCATTTGAACCTAAGTGGCGGACCCACGTAAGATCTGAACGTGGCCATGTTGCTGGACCGGACCTTACATCCTCGCGTCGCGAGACATGGCGCACCGTCCTTTGCCACCTTTCTTCCTCCGGGGGCCCTCACCGGGCCCCCAGAACCATCCAAAAGCGGCTCGGGATGAAGAGGCGGCCCCACGTGATTGGCCCAGACCTCTGGGAAGCAACTTCGTGACAGAACACGACGCCGGACGTCTGGGGCGACAGGACCCCCCCAGGAATGCCCCAAGAAATAAGGAATATGAAGTACACATCCAAGAATCTTGATCCTCCAACCCAGACGTCCGACGATACTATCTATTCAAGTTGACTGCTGAAGCAGGAATGCGGCTAAAGGTATGTTACGTCTTGGGAAGCCCAACGCACATCCTTTCAGAGACCCATGGGCACATACTTCCTGGACTTCCCTATCTGTTGTCGTTCGGAGTGCGCCAAGGGCCGGGCCTGAGCGCCGCCAAGGAGTTCCATCGCCGACCCAAGAAATCCGCGCGGACCTCCGAAACATTGATGTCGTGTTCTCGTGTTCGTCTGTTTCTGAATCCGCGCAGCATTCCCGTTGACACCTCATGAGGGCCGCCACTGGATCTACAGACGTGAGCATGAACAGCAACTGTCGCAGTGTACAATCGGGAGCACGTATGCCTGCTGCTCGGCCTGGTGCTTCAATGCGTGACAGCACTCGCTCACGACACTACTGGGGCACCTGGTTCGCCCAAGCTCAAAAATATGTGGTCGGCTTGGCGCGCATAGACGAGACCTGCACACGCGGCGAATCAACATAGCGGTCCAGACGCCCAACGCCTCTGCGACGGTCACAACCATTGCCACCACAAATGCCACGACTTCAACAAGCGCGATGGCCCTTACTCAGCGTGGGCGACGTAGGTGATGATGCTGCTGCTGCTGCTGACGATGATGATGATAATGACATGCGCTCTCCCGGAATAAAAGGTTCCACGATCAGCCATGCACGACCCCAAGCGAATGACAATACAAACTTTTGAAGCATCGCATCGGCATTGAACTCCCCGAACGATGTTTCAACTTAAGGTTTTCATCCGGGTCGTACAACATTGGATGGGTTCCGCCGGCATGTCGCTTGGCGGTGCCCGCCCGTGGGCGCCTGGTGGGCGCCTCGCGCGCTGGGCGGGAATGCAAACGCTTCGCCAGGTGCTCGCCCGTAGCCACCCGCCCGAACGTTTCTTTGGGGCTCCTCCTCGTGCCGTGTGAGTGCAGCAGTCTCGTTCAAAACCCGCATTCTCAACTCACCATGCTGTGCGCATCCGTAAAGATCTGGTACACTGTGGGGGCCTGAACACGAGAAAAGCCTTCCGCAAGATACCAAACCCCAAGACGCCCCAGGACGCCCATCGACTCCTGGTGTGGGAACGTCACGCCTTCCGCGGCAAAGCCATCGAAATCCAGGAAACCCGAGGCGCCGCGGAGGCAAGCGAAGAGGAGGAGGAAGAGGAGGAGGAGGAGGAAGATGAGGAAGGTGAGGGGGAAGAGGAAGACGAGGAAGAGGAGGCTGAGGAGGAGGAGGAGGACAAGACATCCGGATTGAAGGGTCAACGTCACCACACCTATACTGGTCCCTGGCGCGCGTCTGGCAAAATCCCGTGAGATTTGGTTGCGCAACGGCCCTGACTCCTCACTATGGCAGGCAGAGGGCACACCCCGAAGCTTCAAAGGGGTGAGCTCCGAAGAGGCCCCGTACAAGAGGCTCGCTAACCTGTGAGTGCGAGTCCCTGCGGTTCAACGCGGGGGGAACACCTGGTGGCCCTTCCGCGTGCCCTTGGAACGGGGGCGCGCTGGGCGAGCAGGGTTCCCAAGCGAGGGGGAAAGAGACAACGACGCGACCACTCAAAAAGAGCAGGGGAAGAAAGTCAGGCGGCCCACGCTTTCCAAACTGCTGCTGGGGGGGGGGGGGGGGCGAAGTATCCGACTGGTCCAACGCAGTCCTATGTTCCCCCCTCTTTCCCTCTCTCTCTCTCTTTCTCTCTCTGTCTCTCTCTTTCTCTCTCTTGTTTTTTTTTTTTTTTTCTCTCTCTCTCTCTCTCTCTCTTGCTCGGCCCACTTCCCTTCCAGAACGAACTTGACGAAAGTAGACCCATGCATTGTCGCAGCTGCACCCTGACACCCTGCCGTAGTATCCCACTGTCCCCCTTCGAAGTGCAGGTAGAGGAGGGCATACGAGTAGACACGGCATGTTGGAAGTGGGGCCCTCGAGGATGCGCTCTGGTGGCCTTCGTGGTTATCCTTGTTTTCCATTCTTCCCTCCCTGTAGTAATGTGCCTGTCGGCACTCAAAAAAACACAGCCCAATGCGTTGTCGGCGCGAGCTCTCTCTCAAGGGTCCTCACGCCGAGATGGCCCCGCCAATGATGGTCCCACTGGGTCCGCCCGCCCTGCCAGCATAGGATCGCACTCCGGGATAACCTCGCTAATGCACCTCTGGGCGTTGTCAGTGGGCTCCAATGGACTCTCTCACTTGCGGCCGCTGGAGCTGGCCGCATTCTCCGACTTGGCATACCTTTCGAAAAACTCGGTGCCATCCAACACGGTCTTCGTGCTGCCTCGTAGCTCCTGGCGTGCTTTGAGCCTTGTCACCTCCTCTGGGTCGACATTGTCATCGTTACTCAAATCCTTCCAGGCGGCCGTCATCACGTTGTAGAAATTCTCCTCGTCATCCTTCGATATCTTCAGCGCCAGCTCTCACCAGCTCTGCACACTGAAAGCCTAATTCCCAGCTCCTTCCCACACGTCCATTGGGTACCCTGCGATGAGCTCGCATCCGTCGACCTTGTGCGTCATCGGGAAGACCAACTTGTAGGAAATCACGAACCACACTTTCCTACATGTCCCACATGCGAGTGTATCGAACGAAAACGGCACAGCGAAATTTAGGAAAAACACGAGCCACGCGGTCCCACAATACCGACACCTACATCGCCGGTGGCGTGTTTACGGGGTCTCCGACGCCTTTCCAGATAGAGCCCTTCAAAATCAGATGTGGGAAAGGGAACCAATGCACATCACCACCAAATCTATCCAATCTCGAACACTTCCGCGCCCGCGCACACCTCCTCGCCACCATTTCCCATCCGTGGCACCACATCACCGCAGGCAGCGTCATCGTCAATCGGCGCCATGGCCGCCATGACCAGCCAGGCACCTTCATCATCGACAAATGGGCAGCAAGATCATCAACATCATGATCCTCATATTCATCAGCTGAAAAAGCGTCATCATCATCATCATCATCATAACCGTCATCATCGTCGTCGTCGTGGTCGTCGTCGTAGTCGTAGTCGTTGTCACACCAACATCGGCGCAATTATTTGGCTTGCCGTCGTCTTCGCCATCATCGCCACCACCGTCGCTACAATCGGCGTCCTTGGCACCATTGTCGACGTCATCACGATACCCCGCCCGCCCGAAACACCGACCCGCGCCGAAGTGCCCGCGAGTAAGCGAGGCCTTCAGAATGCGCTGGAAAGCTCACAACGGGCAGCGCCATCGCGGCCGCGTCGGCTGTGCCAAACCAGGTGGTCGCTCTACGCGCGAGCTTGCGCGCGATAGCACAGCCGCAGAGATGCACCAGCTATCGCTGAGTAGTCAGCACACTCGCGTCCGCATGGGTTGTGCAGTTGACGACTTCAAGTTCGACAAGGTGGATTGCACCACATAGCGTACACCGTATAGCTTTTACCACCTGACGTTTACCACATAGCTCACACCACGTTGCGCACACAGTGCGTATACGTAGATACACATATGTTTGCGGCACGTGCAAGTATTGAGTGGAGAGAGAGAGAGAGAGAGGGAGAGAGAGAGAGAGAGGGAGGGAAAGGGAGGGAGGGAGAAAGAGAGAGAGAGTTACAGAGAGAACCCAAACAATAACAAATGCACCGTGTAATTCGAACCCTACACCTTGCACCACTTAGCTTGCACCGCAAAGCTTGAACCAGATATCTTGCACCACATGGCTTGCACGAGATAGCTTGCAAAGCACAACTGGTACCACATAGCGTCCACAACGAAGCTTGCACCCAACAAACTGCACCACATAGCTTATACCATAAGACTTGCACCACACCTCTTACAACGCCAACGTGATAAACCCATGTGTGGGGTCCACGCTGGCAAACATGTTCGAAATTACCCTCCCTGTGAAGGCCCTGGCACCACATGAAAACAAATGCGTATGTAGAGAAAACGTGCCGTCCAATGCCTTCCTGGCCCTTCCGCTATCGCACGGACAGCAACACTGTCGCGGCGTCCACGGCTGCGGTGCGGAGCAGCTGCCCTGAAGACGCGTGTTTTTGTCACGTTTGGGAGGTGGGGAGCGGCGCAGCAACAAAGACTGACGAGAGAGGCACGGTCAACGACTACAACAGCAACGCACAGCGAAAGAACACGTGAAGTCTGGGGCGAGGAGCCACTTGATATGCGGACGCAGAGAGATGCACAAAGAGACACAGACAACATACGCGCACCTGCAAACCATGTCGTGGAATTGAGATATTGCCATGCACGATATCATCGTAACCAAGCGTTTGGGCAACCGGGGGGGGCGGGCCAATCTACATTCCGAAGATCAAACGTCCATCCCTAATGACTATCCTAGCCACATTACGCCTGCAAAACTCCCAATCGCTCGATAATGACAATAATTTTCCCGGGTGACAGATCGTCACCCTGGAGAAAGGGGGGGTCGGGCGGGAGGGTGACGGTAACGGCGACCACGACGTGCACCCGCCAACGTGCGTTCGCGAAACTGGCGCATCATCCGCCTGCGTGCGCCACAACATGTTGGGGGGGAGTCCAGGCCCCCCCCCTCGTACGATATGTTTAGTATTACCCCGGGGGGGTGAGGGGGTTTGGCCGGGGTAACAAGCGTTACCCCGGGGAGGGGACTAAAAACGCTCACATAACCAATGGACGTCGCCTAGCTGTAAGTCCGGCATGTCCCTCTACAGGAGGAATCTTCAAAATAGTGAAAATATAGTCTGGGGACGATTACCCCAATCTGTGTTTCTGTTAGTTTTGAATAGTTGTTGGTTACTTTTTCTTACAGAATCGGCCTGTAGAAGGATATGCCCGACCTAAGCACAGCTTCGTCATTTGCGAGCCTGTGCGCACGTCGCCTCAGCATTCACGCGAGAACGCACAGCCACTGGATAAACAAAACGAACCGATACCGCTGCTCCAGGGATCTCCCTGGGTGCGATCTGACTGCAAGCCTCGTCTCAAACAAATTGAAACGCCGTTCAAAATCGAAGCGCCCGACAGCTCGGGAACTTCAACGCGTTCCTCAATGCTGCGAGGGCACCGCGGACTCCTGGACACCCCTGCGTGTGGGGCCAAACGCCTCATGCCAGCATCGAAAGTAACGCCGATCGCGACCGCGCCGAAAACAAAAACCGTCATAATGTTGTTGACGAGTCTAGGATTAGATCGGGCATGTCCTCCTACAGGCGGATTTTGAAAGACAAATAGAAAATGGTCCAGAAAGAAATCAGACATGGCCAGAAATAATAGAGAGAGAGATCATCCACGGACTATGTTTTGACTGTTCTTGCCTAACGTTCCTCCTGTAGGGGAACAGGCCCGAGGTAAGTCTAGAGAGCGCGCCACGTACACGGCAGAGGTGCCCCGAGCGGAGGCCGGGCGGAAGGTGCGCCAGGGGGAGGGCCGGCGGCCAGGAGGAGCAGGCAGTCCCGAGACGTCAGGGGCGGGGGATCAGGGCGTTGAGGCGGAGGGGGGGCCAGGAGAGCCCAGAATCGAATCGACAAGTCGGATCGGCGGTCAAAAAGAATCGCATCGGCGGAAATCGGCTGCCGAGTCGGGAAAAGTCGGATCGGCGGAAGTCGGCAGTCTAGTAGGCCTCCAAGAAGGAATCGGGACCCAAATCGGAATCCCAAATCGAATCGCATCGGAATCGGAAGCCATCGAAACCGAACCGAATCGAGTCGAAGGAATCGAACTGAGCCCTGGAGGGGGGGGGAAGAGCAAGGAGGGGGCGGACGACAAGGAGGAGGACGAGGAGGCGCGGGGAGGGAGAAGCTGGGAGGGGGGCCTTCTGACTAGGACTCCGAGGAGAACCCGACCGAAGGCGACGAGGAGCCCCCAGGACGAGCGGCGGCATCGGCATCGGCCCCGGGGCGACGAGAAGCCTCCCAGGAGCCCCAAGAAGGCTGCAAGAGGAGCCCCAGGGCCTCGGTCCTCGAACCCACACATCTGACCTTGCGATGTCCCCAAGGCGCCTCCTCCTCCTCCTCCTCCTCCTCCTCCTCCTTCTCCTCCACTTCCTCCTCCTCCTCCTCCTCCTCCTCCTCCTCCTCCTCCTCCTCCTTCTCCTCCACTTCCTCCTCCTCCTCCTCCTCCTCCTCCTCCGCCCTCCTCCGTCTCCTCCTCCTCCTCCTCCTCCTCCTCCTCCTCCTCCTCTCGGACCTGGCCCCGAGGGGCGTCCCTCAAGAACACGAGACCCTCCGCTGGCCAACACGCACAGCGCATCCAAGGGTATACCCTCCCCAGGATGCAAAGGGAATCCAACAGACACGAAGAGCACTAAGGTACCCTCCCCAAACCGACCTCGGTCTTTTACCTCCCTCCGACTGTACCCCAAGGAACAGCTTGCGTCGAGGATACTAGAAGAAGAAACAACTGCGTGAACATAAATGTGTGGCGCTCCACGCGGATTTCTTGGATCTGCGGTGGGCCCCCCCTCCCCGGCGCGCGGAGCGTCAGGAGCTTCTGGCGCCCGGGGGCCCCAGCGCGGAGCCCAGGAATCCGCGCGGAGAGCGCCAACATATCATGTTTATGGCGTTGTTGTCTTCTTCTTCTTAGTATTATTATTATTATCATCCTTCTTCTTTTTTTATTATGATTATTATTATGTTTATTCTTCTTCTTCGAGATACACGCCTGATGCCCCGCACGAAAACGGCCCTCGAGGGCCGAGGTCGAAGAAGAAGCGCTGGGATCGAGACCTCACACCGTCGGAGAGACATATGGACTCCCGAGGCTCCGGCTCACCACAGCTCGGACCTCGGGGCGCGGCCCTTCGGGACGACGTGCGCCCCTCCCCCCCTGGGAGCGCCCTCGGCGAGGCGCAGCGGCCGGGGAGCACCCGGAGGCTGGAAGACCTCCCAAAGGGCCGACGAAGACGCCCGAACACGGCGCGAAGACGTCATTGAAAGGGCCCTGGGACACACAAATAAATACACACAAATAAAAATACTCCCCATATTTTCCTATATTTTTGGAGCTTCTGTCTTCCCCCCCACACACTTCCCATATTTTCCAATATTTTCCTGGGGATCTTCAATGAATGGTGTCAATGTGTTTCTTTCCCTCCTGAGTCATGGGGAAGCGAGCACCTCGAATCGCGACCCTCGAGCCGCGATCCTCCGCCCTGATCCCTGTGGCCGTATTGGCACACAGGCTGATGCAGCGCCGCGTCCGACTGACCTACAGCCCTCACCCTCGATGTTACTCCTGCTCCCCTTCGGCCTCCCTCGACCCTCTTCCTTCTCCTCCTCCTCCTCCTCCTCCTCCTCCTCCTCGATCTTGCTCCTCGGTCCCCCGCCTCGATTCTCCTCCTCGATCCTCCTCCTCGATCGCCCTCCTCCTCCTCCTCCTCCTCCTCCTGGATCCTGCTGCTCGATCATCCCTCCTCCTCCTCCTCCTCCTCCTCCTTGATCTTGCTCCTCGGTGCCCCGCCTCGATTCTCCTCCTCGATCCTCCTCCTCGATCGTCCCTCCTCCTCCTCCTCCTCTTTTTCCTCCTCCTCCTCCTCCTCCTCCTCCTGGCTCCTGCTCCTCGATCGTCCCTCCTCCTCCTCCTCCTCCTCCTCCTCCTCCTCCTCCTCCTCCCGGTCCTCGATACTCGATCCTCCCGCCTGCTCGATGCCCCTCGACCTCCCCTGCCGACGGCAGGACGGCCGCCCATGGACGGCCTGGCGGCGCGGCTCCGCGCGGCGGGCCGGCGGGGGCCCAGGCCGGGGCGGCGCGAGCAGCGCCAGGACGCTGCCCAGCCCGCGCCCACGGCGGCCTTCGCCCGAGCCGGGGTCGTCGTCGTCGTCGTCGTGGTCGTCGTCGTCGTCGTGGTCGTCGTCGTGGTCGTCGTCGTCGTCGTGGTCGTCGTCGTCGTGGTCGTCGTCGTCGTCCTCGTCGTGGTCGTCGTCGTCGTCGTGGTCGTCGTCGTCGTCGTCTTCGTCGCCGTCCTCGTCGTCCTCGTCGTCGTCGTCCTCATCCTCCTCCTCCTCCTCCTCCTCCTCCTCCTTCTCCTCCTCTTCCTCGTCGTCGTGGTGTTCGTCTTTTTCTACGTCGCCATTGTCGTCGTCATCGCGGTCGCGGTGGTGGTGGTGGTGGTCATCTGCGTCGTCGCCGTTGCCGCCGTCGTCGACGGAGCAGGGCGTCGAGGGGGGGGAGGAGGGAAGGAGGACGGAGGGGAGAGGAGGGAAGAAGGGCACCAGCACCAAGGGAGGGGGGAAGAGGGAGGGTAGAGGAGGGCGTGGTGGGAGGCGGGGAGAGGAAGACGGACAGTGGGGAGAGAGAGGAGGGGGCGGAAGGCTCGGCCATTGGAACGGTGGGGACCTCCGCCTCCCTCCCTGTGTATACTCTTCCCATCTCCTTCCCCCCTCCCCCCCTGCTCCTCCGGGGCGTTGCGGCTCTGAGTTAACGGGCGAAGAACGGTCTCAGATAAACTTTTTCGCTGTCGGGGGCGCCTGTCCCAGGGCGGCTGGAAAATTTATACCCTCACGGTGGCACGCCAAAGAACAAACTTTCCAGCCGCCCTGGGGCAGCGCCCCCGATGACGGAAAAGTGTACTTTATACCGTTCTTCGCCCGCTAACTAAGAGAGCACGGTGTTGGAGGCCTGGAAATTGGCACCAACACCAACACAGGGGTTTGCCTCCACACGGGGAAAGATGATCCCAGATTTCGGTGTTGGTGGTCATAGTTCGGTCGCCTTGGAAGCCAGAATATTACCACCGTCGCCGAGATCGGGATCTTCTTCCCCCGGTGGAGGCACACCGCCGAAGTGGGTGTGTTGGCGTCCACCTCCAGGCCTGCGACGGTGGTGCAACACACCACTTGCCCCGAATGAGAACATCGCCGCAGCCTGGCCGAACGGCCCCACCGATGGTCTCTCCCCCCCCTGCAGGGCTGCGCAGCCGGGGCGTAGCCCCAGCGAGAGCGCTCGAGGGCGGGCTCGCCACCCAGACGGGCTCGGGCAGAGGGGGCGCGCTCTGGACCGAGGCCGGAGGTGCTCCATACCCAAATCCCCGACGACCTGAACTGTCCGATGCCACCGTTTGGCCTCGATTTCGGCCTCCAGGACTCATTCATCGAGCCCCCGGGGCAATCCCAAGTGCGTCTGGGGCGGAAAAATGGGCTCCAGGAATGGGTCGGGACCCCTGGGGCAGCGCGTGACAGCGAAAACACCTCGCTGGTTGTCAAGGTATGCAGCTGGAGAGGACGCTCCGGAGAGGGGATTTGGGTGGAGAGAGGAGGGGGACTAGGAAGAAAGCTAATTGACCTGACCATGACTGACACACTGAAAAGCGGTGGTAATGATACAGTGCGTATGTTGCCGATGACGTACATATCAAATTTCATTCGAGCAGGATGACAACATCTCTGGGCCGACCAGTGCTTCCGAAGTGTACTCCAACACCGATAGCAAGTGCACAATCTCAAACTTTCGCTAACCTCATGACAACAATATGACGTAATGGCGCGCGTACGCACGAACAGTTCAGTATAACAATACGAACACACCAATACAACAACCCTCCATGTTCGGGCACTCGCTAACATGGGTTACGGTTCCGCGGATCTGAAGCCTGGGCGCAAGATCCACAGATCGGAGAATGTACCATCCCGACGCATGAGGCCACTGCCGCCAGATCTGGAGACGGAGCGCGCAGAATTGGCATGGAAGCGGGACCCGTCGCTGATCCACGCGCGTTTCCTCGACACGCGCACGGGACTGGAACGGAATACCCGAAGGGCAAGTGCACAGCACTAAGATCCTGTACAAAACAGGGTAATGTGCCTCTGGCGGCTTTTTTGATACGAATTATGTCTACGAGAGCGGCCAATCGCTGCTCTGGGAGGGGGCTACCCCTGAGGCCGAAAACGTGAAGGATATTACAGTGGAGTCGGGGGCAACCACAACCTCCGAGGGGGCCGACGACTCCAACCGACAGAAAAAAAACTTGTTGAGCGGCATAGAACGATCCAGGAGATCTTCCACCCGACGGTTGGGCGGAATTCCCCTGAAGAAACGGTTGATCACTTCCTGACACTTCTTGACGGGGGTTCTAACACGGGCCAGCCAACTTAATTGCATTACTCTGGGACCAACCCACACACTTTAAACATATCCAGTGTTGCTTCTCACGGACGCCAAGGGCCAAAGCTCAGGCCACTCTTCCGATGTCCACATGTGCACAGGACATTAGGAGGTAACTCCTGGGAGGTCTTCGTGAACACGGTTGAATATAACTTGTCAGATTGCGAGGCCGCTCAGCCACAACAGCCTTGATTAAGTGCGGGGCTAAGCGGCATTGAGCAGGACTCAGCGGAATTCGGCGAGCATGATGGGTTGGGCGGGTCTTCGACCACGAATACGCCACCGCCGGTACTGAATTGAAGCCCCGGAGGAATTGCACCCTACTAAGCCAATGCCACCACAACGTGCGACAACTAACCATGGAGTGGGGGATGGACTACTGAGTTTGACTACCCCCATTGGTGTTCCCGTCGGGCCCACGAGAAATACTTTTACAGCTCCGTATCGTTCTGACAGTACCCAATTTGTCTCGCTGGTTCGGCGAACGGCAGTGCAGCAACGCTGGGGCAAATCGACTCGCCGCCCGATCCTCTGCTCGGAAGCTGCGTGCTTCAAGACCCACGCGCCAGCGCACGAGACCGCAAGGCCCGCGGCCTTGCCCGCCTGCTAGGTCGCCTCGCCGCCCCCGCGCACGGCGGGGGGGAGCCTCTCAAGAGGGCCCACGGGCACACACACACACACAACATAGGCACAAACCCCAATATACAAATTTTTGGCGTGTTTATGGGTTTCTGCACTCCTGTTTTCCTGCATCGTTCCACTACTTACAGTATATGAGTTGAAGCTTGCCAGTGCTCGCAGGGAGTTGTCAACTCCACTGCCCACGCAATCATCCCACCCATCTAACCCGCAACTTAGTCTTCAAAACCCATGCGACGGCGAATGCGATGAGTGCTTGGTGTTGGCTGGTGAATCTCTGCGGCCGCGCTGGACCGCGCATATTCGCGCGCGCGGCGGCCAGCTAATGCGGCGCGACCGACGTGGCCGCGGTGGCGCTGACCGGTAGACACGATGATGCAATGATGGTGGCGATGGTGGCGGTGACGACGGCAAGGCCAATGACGGCGCCAATGCTGATCACGCCCGCCGAAGGTTTGGGAAGGAATTCAACATGCGCGCCCTGTCGATGCGTGCGTGTGGCCGCGCGGTATTATTTGACACGGATCGTGCCCCCCCGGCACGAGAGCAAGGGCGTTCAGATGAGTTCGACATGCGGCGCGAGAGGACTCTGTGGCAGACTTTGATGACAATGTTGAAAAGCCGATGGTTTTCGTAGAAACTCGCGAGAGCGCGCGCGCAGGTGGTTTTTGCTGCTGGTTGGTTTCTGCTTATACTGATGTTGCAAAACCTTGTGTGTTTATGTGTTTTCGGGACACTCGTTTTTTTTAACATTTCTGTGAAACCTAAGGTTGCTGAGCGGTTTCACCATGCGCGCGACGACGCGCGCGTGCGCCCTTCGTCCCAATTGTTGCGAAGGGTTCGACAGGCGCGCGCGACGCCCGTTTGACTATGGCTTTTCTTAAGAATCTGCAAGAGCGCGAGCGCAGGTTTTTGTTGAACATCCTTGTTGCAAAACACTGTATTCTTATATGTTTCCGTGACCCTCGATTTTGAGATCATGCACGCGCGACGACGCGCGCATGTGCACGTCGTCCCGTTTCTTGACGAGGAGACTTTTGATAAGCAAATGCGCGCATAACATGTTTTTCAGAGGGGTGAGGGCGGGGATGCAGGCCTGCCTGGGATGGTGCGAACTCGTATTTAGGATGGGCGATGGGTCAAAATCGTTTGAAAATTGCACATCCCAAAGAGGAGCCGATAAGTTCTGGGGGGGGCTGATCCGAATTTCTGTTAGAAAAGAGTGAATCAACGTTCGCTTGTGTTGCCATTATTCGACACCCCTTGGACCGTTCGCGGGAAAAATCAACGCATGTCATAACTGACTTTCTACCAAGCTGGTTGGTCGCAACGCTAGCGGACGATCAGCGTGGTCGAAGCACAGCACCGGGCCGCGGGATCGCGAATTGAGCACACGAGGGGCTGGAGCAAAGAGGGGGGTGGCCGTGGAGGGAGGCAAAGGGCGGGGACGAAGATAAACACGAAAGCCTGAAAGGCAAAACGCGAAAAGGTGTTGAGTGTTGAGCTTGGTCCCTCCCCCCTCTCCCCCTCCCCCCTCTTCCCCTCGCCCCCAGTTCCACTCATCCGACGTTGCGTTCTTTTTTCAAAAAAGCGCGGCTCCCCAGAGGTCTGGGCCTTTTCCCAGGACAGGCTTCTCACCCACAGCAGTCCGTCGACGGTCCTGGGCCCTGGCAGCGGCATGGCCCTCCAGGAGCAGAGGAACAAAATAAACAATTGTTTGATTCGCGGGTCGAGAGCGCACCTCTTCCGGTCGAAGCTAAGCGGGCCGCGCGAAGCTTGAATTAAATAGAGAAGGGGCGAACAAACTGAACAGTGACAGCTGGAAGTTTTCGGAAGTCCGCGCGGCAGATTCCCCGGATCGGCGTTGGACCCCCTTCCCTGCCGCGCGCAGCGCCAGGGGCGACGCCAGACGTGCGCGCTCAGCGCCGACCCCCCCAACAAAAACGCGGACCTCAGACAGTCTACCCTGTCTATGCCGACGCCTTTTCTGCGAGCACCCCTCTTCTCGATGCCTGTTCGACTCCCCGTCTCTCTGCCACGAAGGCAACAATA